TTTGAATGTTGACTTTAGTTTTATGATATTTGTATAATATTTGAAAAATAGTGGTATTTATAATTTTGTATAATATTTGTAAAATAGTGGTATTTGTGAAACATTTGAAAAATAGTAGTATTTGAAAACAAAACTTTAGAGTGTAGTATTTTTGAAAATTGCCCATAATAATAATGGTTTTGAATAGTGATGAAAGAGCATAACAACAATATTGGCTTCAAATGGTGGCATTATATTGTTGGCATTACTACATATATTATTTTTATGTAATCATCAATCTCTAAAATAAATAAAAAATAAAGTTAATTTGGTGAATAACAAAAAAAGAATATAACTTATCAACTATTCCAAAGTTTCTTATGGGACATACCCATTAGATCTAGATATATAGGTTAGTTTCTTAGTTAGAGTATTTTTGTTGGTTGTACAATACAATTTCTCTAAAAAATATTATTAGAAGAAGTGGTTCCATTATTTTTCCAGAAAAATAAGAGGGCAACTATACCTTTCAATATTAGTGGTAAAAAGGGTGGAGCGGATAAGAAAATAAATCAAGCATATTTTCGTACTGTTTATCATTAAAAAGTTTTATCTTTCAATATTGGTTTTTATGTGTTATACTGTACCATTTTAACGGATGTTAACAGTAGACTTACGCTAACATGTTCATGGATATTAATCTGAAAAAATCAAACATACACCAAGATTTACACTAACATTTTAACGGATATTAATCTGAAAAAATTAATGCATAAAAACGGTGTTAAGATTATAAACACAAAGATTCGTGACCAAAAAAAAAAAATTATAAACACAAGATTAACTATAATTTAGTTAATCCAATATTACTTTCATATTTTCCTTCAAATCTCGAGGAACATTTTTTCTTGAAATCTTCATTACTTTTTCAACTCTTCATTACTTTTTCATTTGCAAGAATGATACAACTAATCTAATTATTTTTTCATTAGTACAATTAATTTTTGGGTTTCGTTTTTTTTCCTTTCGGATAAAGGCTTGAGAAGTTTAGAGCAATTATGTAATACTGTATATATATTTTTGAAATGAAGTGCTTAATTCAGTTCACAGTGTATATACGCATTCTTGTTTTTTTTTTCACAAGTTTCATTCATTCACTAAACCAACAAAACATAGTTTGTCTCTATCAAAGCGGGAAGAGTTACATACCCAAAGATTGTTAATCCTAAAACATAAGAAAATATTGCCAAGACCGCCGTCGAGCTATCGATATGCATTGGAAATCCTCATCCCCTCGAGAGAAATCATAATCTCTCAATAATATACATGGTAAATCTTCATCCCTTCAGAAAATATCATCAT